ACACCCAATTCTTTCTTTCTTATTATTTGTTAAATTTCTTTGCCACCTATCTAGCTGTGAGGCTTACAATAATAAAAAAGGGAGAAATGAAAAGAGTGTGAAAAATAAGATAATGGCAATAAAATAAACAATGAAAAAAACCAACAACAAAAAAATATAATTATATGGTTACGAAAAAAGAAAGATGGACCGGTAGAAAGCAGAAAATAGACTAGAGGTGGGGGGAGTGGAGTCTGCCATCAATCCAACAGTCACCCAGCATGGAACTTTCCCTATTAATCCCCAGAGATTATTAATTCTTGATGTATAATCATTTGCAGTGGGGAATTGGAGGATTGAAGAGCTTGGATTTGTTTTGTTTGAGACTCAGGCTGAAGAACCTGAGAACTGCCTGAAGAACTCTCAGGAGACAAAGAGAATCCAAGAAATCAATCTGCATGTTCTCCAAACAGTCAAAACTTGTGAAAAGCATGCAGAACAGGGATTTTTGTGATCATCTGCTGAGTCACGAACTGAGAGCGGGATTTCCATTCAAGTTCAACCACTGTGTTGTAGTGCAATCCAATTTCAAGGAAATGTCTCAAATAGGAAACCAGTCCTTGCAGCATTGCAGTCATACATAAAATACATTTTCTTTATTTAATAAAATTATGTCCCTACCTTCTTCTAGGAGCTCAAGGTAAGGCATATAGAGATCTTTCCTCATCCCCCCCCCCCCCGAAATAACTACCTTGTGAAATAGATTGGATAACTAAAAGCTCTCATACTTCCATGCTTGAGTAAGGAATTAAAGCTTGGTTTCTCTGGCTCCAGTCTAATCTTTTAACCATATTGGAGCCCTTACATTGTGGGTATGTCTAAAATATTGCAAGAGGAAAGTATTTAGTTATATTTTTGCTGTATTTTATTTGAAATGTTAACTAGAAAAGGTAGGCAATTTAGCAGCAATTTGATAGGAATATTTCTATTTGAATGAATCTTGCAATTAAAATGCGCTCATGTGGAAGGCAGTATCTTCTCATTTACTATTTTTCCCCAATAGACTAGGTCACCTTTTCTGCTTATATGTGAAGAGTAGCCAGTTCCTTAGGTTAGGTTAAAAAAATTAAAACCCACTCAACTAACAAAAAATTTGAATATATCTTGCTCTTTTTCCTGAAAATGAATAAAAGTAAGTATCAAAAATAATACCTCAGATGTAGCTTTTTCTCGGTGATTGCTTTGATTGGTTGCTCCAACTTGGCATTACTTTTGTAAAGAATTTTCACAGAATTGAGATAGGTAGTGAGAGCCTTCTCACCTTTCTAGACAGCGTAGACCGGATAACCTGACAAATATTTTCTCCTGGTGGTATAATAATAAATTCAAAATGTCACACAACATTCTTGTCAAAAAGACATTCCACAAGATATAGTTTGCTAAACCAAAAGACAAAATAAAAGGAAGCAGGTGGGATACATTTATGTTTAATTTATTTTCCTCTTCCCCCACTTCTACATACATACTTGTGCATGTATACACACATACAAATACACATGTTTGGTAGAAACACAACTCGTCGTGTTTGGAGGAGAGAGAATGCTGAGTTGCATCCAAAGAACACCATACCTACTGTGAAGCATGGAGATGGCAACATCATGCTTTGGGGCTGTTTCTCTGCAAAGGGACCAGGATGACTGATCCGTGTACAGGAAAGAATGAATGGGGCCATGTATCGTGAGATTTGAGTGCAAACCTCCTTACATCAGCAAGGACATTGAAGATGAAACATGGCTGGGTCTTTCAGCATGACAATGATCCCAAACACACTGCCTGGGCAAGGTCCTGGAGTGTCCTAGCCAGTCTCCAGATCTCAACCCCATAGAAAACCTTTGGAGGGAGTTGAAAGTCTGTGTTGCCCAGCGACAGCCCCAAAACATCACTGCTGTAGAGGAGATCTGCATGGAGGAATGGGCCAATATACAGCAACAATGTGTGCCAACCTTGTGAAGACTTACAATGAGCTCTGTCATTGCCAACAAAGGATATATAACAAAGTATTGAGATGAACTTTTGATATTGTCCACATACTTATTTTCCACCATAATTTGCAAATAAATTCTTTCCAAATCAGACAATGTGATTGTCTGGATTTGTTTTCTCATTTTGTCTCTCATAGTTGAGGTCTATCTCAATTACAGGCCTCTCTCATCTTTTTAAGTGGGAGAACTTGCACAATTGGTGGCTGACTAAATACTTTTTTGCCCCACTGTATGTATATATGTATATATAGGTCTTTAGTTGTTCGGGTAAAATTGGAAGTGTCTTGGCGATGTTTCGACGAAGTCCCATTCGTCATCTTCAGGCTGGTGTTTTCAGCTTCATGCTTTGAGCAGGAAAACACCAGCCTGAAGATGACGAATGGGACTTCGTCGAAACGTCGCCAAGACACTTCCAATTTTACGCGGGAGAAAACCTGAACAACCAAAGACCTACATACAAATACCCGCGAAAACCTCAGAAAACAAATATGTATATATGTATATATATTATGGTGATGACCAGATATTATCAATAACACATACATGCACAAGGGTCCATATTATATTATATTGTATTGTATATTACATTACATTACATTACATTACATTACATTATATTATATTATATTATATTATACCATATGCCATATGCCATATACCATATACCATATATCATATACCATATATCATTATTATATTTATTATATTATATTTACATTATTATATAATACATAATGTGATTATGTTCATTCTTAAGATTCATCCTAAGATCTGAATCTTTTTAGATCTGCGAAGTTTAGCATCAACAAATTTTGATGAACTTGATTCTCCCTGTCATTTTTTCAAGGAGGCCTCATGATAAATTTGTTTTCCCAAAAGTCATAAATGTGACATATGCACCAAATCCTCTTAAAATGTTTTCAAGAGTGCCATTTGCATTGTAAAGTATATCAGTTTAGCATTGTTTGTAGCAGTTACAGAGTAGACAGTAGTAGGCAGAGGCTCACATTTGATCCTTTTTACGTTGGGAATACAGCAGTGTAAACTGAAAAATTCTGCAATACAATTCACAAGCATCTTTTATTTTTTAAATTTTTCTTTTGTTTCAGCCATCTTTGAGACTTTGGCAGACAAGAACCCTTCATTTACTTCTTTAAAAAAAACTTGGAAAGTAATCAATCCACAGTTCATTATCTCATCCTTCAAGTGTATGCCAACACTGGCTTCCTTCCATGTACAGTTCAAATCTTACCCCATTACCTACCTAATAAAGTAGGAAAGAAGAGGTCACCACAGGCACTATGGCAGCTAGCTAATATAGATCTCTAAATATGCTGGGGCTAACTGTCCTGAGGCTTCTTGCATCAAGTGGGATTGAAAGTTGCATATCAGCCTGAGTCATTTAATTTATTATGCCTTGTGGAACAGACTGTCTTTTCTAAAGGAGCCTTTTGCTTTTCCCCATCTCTCAGTGTCACTGCCAACTTACATCTTTTCTGTTTGCTTTTTACAGCTTTAAGCCAGAGGTTGATGCTTAAAATATTAATCTTTGTCCCCCATTTACCTTCTTTCCACTCTAGTTCCCAGGTGATGTAAATAACAGCAGCTTCACAAAAAACAACAACCAAAAAAAAAAAAAAAAAAAAACCCACACAAGAGAGAAATTCTTGGTTTTGGGAAGAAGGAAGCATAGCAACAATGTCTCTTTTAATGGCTGATGTTAAGTTCTAAAATGAAAAGTAAAGTTGCAGATGATGATGATGATAATGATAATGATGATGATGAAAATAATAATAATAATAATAATAATAATAATAATAATAATAATAATGGCCTGATATATGTCAGTTGGGTCAACACATTCCTATGTTTACACTCTGTTTAAAGAGTCAACTGAAGATCTCAAGTATTTTCATCATGATATCATTTCATACCAATAAGCAATTTTATTACTCTTTTTCTAAATAAAGCAGATAATAGGAAGGGATGGTCCTGAACAGATAAAAGAGTAAATTTGGCTAGAGCAAATTAGTAGAATTCCAAGAGAGGATATTAGAGCTGCAGCACACAATTTGATCAAGGTTTATAGTTGGCCTTTCATCTGCCCTGTTGGTATGCATAATCCAAGTAGAGATGTCTAGGAAATATAAGTGGGTAGTATGAAAGCAAATCCCATATTGAATTTAAATGCAGGTAATCAATACTCATGCATCCAACATTTTCTCTTCCTGTAATATTACAACTACATTTTAGCAGCAATTTTACAAGGACGTCTGATTGTATCTAGGCATTAGAGATCTTCATGCTACCTTTGATCATCACACATTATTAGTAATACCAGTACTAGTACCGGTATTTTTAAAAAATAGTATATTTTGGGGCTATGGTTGCAAAAGTATAGTATCCAGATTGAGGGAAATCAATTATTTGACCTTGATCTATCTATAGGTTAATGTTGGATCCCATAAATACACAAATCAGTATGTCTATATTTACGTCTATGTCTTTCTGAAGAAACACATTGAGAAATTGGAGTTTCAAAAACCATGTCCTAGAAGCAAGCACTGCAGAAGCTAAGGTTTGTTAGCTTGGATTATAAAAACTTAAGAATAGATAATGATAGTGATCTTCAAATCATTCTCTGTTGCTTTGGAAAGCAAGTATAACCCTGAGGAATATAAATGGCAAGGAAGCAGATTGTAGCTAAGCATAAAAAGAAATTTCCTTGCATTATGAGCTGTTTGATAGTTGGGACAAACTGCCCTGAAAGAGCCTGAATCCTAAAGGCATATACTGTAAATAGAGGATGGACAGTTACTTATCAGAGAAGCTATAATTGTATCCTGCATCACAGAACTATAGGCTACTATTTTGGCACAAACTGAGTCTGTTGAGATGAAATGAATCACCACATGGAGTTTATTTGCTAAGAATCTCCCCAAAACACTATATTACATCCAGGCTTCTTATTCTTTGCAGGTCTTCCAAGGCAATGTCAATGCTGACAGTGTGATACAGCACAAATTCCTTCACTCTGTTAAAGCTCGCTTTGTGCGCTTTCTGCCCATGACATGGAACCCAAATGGAAATATTGGTCTGCGAGTTGAAGCTTTTGGATGCTCATATAGTAAGTATTGAAATGTATCCTAGCATACACTAGAAGCATCATCTTTCTGCTGAAGGTTCAGATACAATTTTGTCAGGAAGATCCTATGGTGCAAGTTTACAGAATACATCACAAGCTGACCAATTGGCCACACCACTGACTTTAGCTTCAGTAGCAAGTTGTGGTCAATCCCTATCTTCACTATGTTGTCTGTATATACTTTTCCTTCAACATGTCCCAAAGGTGATTTTTCAAAAGGCAACTAAACTTTGTTTTTGCTTGAAGACATTTCATTTCTTATCCAAGAAACTTCTACAGTTCTAACTGAATGGTGGGGGATGGAAGGATTTATATTCCTTGCAGTCATCTGGTTGTTAGCACTCTTTCTGAGAGTCATTGAGGCCACTTGGAGGTTTAGCCATGCCCTCAGGGTCATCTGAATAGTGCACATAGGTGTGGAATCTTCTTGGAATTGCTAAAAGGACTGTGTTGTAACTCCTTTCAGTAGTTCCAAGAAGATTCCACACCCATATGTACTATTCACTATTTTTCTGGTCTATTTTCACTTTTTCTTATATACATTTACCAAAGGTATTATGTAGAATGTTACCAATGCCATTTTTTATGAGTAGATATTTTTAAAGATCACTTTATTTCACTACAGATTAAAAAAAAAGCTATATTAAACTAATATTTACAAAATCTGCCACAATTTGTTTTATGCAGAAGCAAAGATCAATTTGTATAATGCCCCCAAATTATGTCCAGTTTTATTGAAAAAGAGACATCAATGGAAAACAGAATAGATTTGGAGCTCCTGTGATTTTCTGAAGTCCAAAGCCCAGCCCTTTTTTGGAACTTTAGTAACTAAGTAATATAAGTGTTCATAAATTCTAGAATAACTGTCATCTAATGTGCTAGGTTTCATTGTTTCCTATCTAAGGAGAATTATGTGAAGTTACACTAAAAGGTGCAATATGTTCTGAATGATAAAATATTTACAACTCTCTAATATGGTAGCATAAGGAGAAATATTTCTATTAAATTTCTATTCAATATTTCTTGAGATGAAATTCTTCCCTGTAACACTTAACATTGTTGGAGAGCCTGCTGCCATTTGTGGGCATTCCACCTTTAGTGCCTTAGCCCAAAATGAAAAGTGATGAGATGGACATGGGAATAAAATGAAAACCTGATTGTGAATTAATTAGAAGTGTTGTTGGATGTCTGCCAAGAAGTAACCATTTGTTTAGGATCAAAGCCAGGAAAAGAGGCCTAGGAGTTAAGTGTCTCATTAGCACACCCAGGGTAAAATCACAACCACATGTTTCATTGGATGCACCTCTGCCAACTCATACCAGTTTTTTGTTTTTTGTTTTAAAGTGCTATATAATTAGGAAATAAATTTCCAGGTACAATGTTTCTATAAGGAAAAAATGGAAGCACTGCAGTTTTAGGGAGTTTTCAAAGTGTTTATTATATGATCATATGAGACACAATGAAGACTTGTGTACAAATTATAGTAAAACCTATTTCATTTCAACTTTAGAATTTATTTATTTGTTTGTTTGTTTGTCAATATGAATCAATTATTTACTTAGACCTATACATGGATTATCCCTTATACATACTGTACGTCTTTATTATTTTTCTGATTCTACCTGAAGTACATAGTTGGATTCAAATCTTTTCAAAGAAGTATTTTAATGCAACTACACTGATTTCAACAATGGGCATTTAGGCCAGATTCATATAATACACTATCATAGTGTTTGGTTTTAGCTTAATGAGTTCCGTAACTCCAGACATTGTAACATATGAACAAAGGATAGTTTAATGGTTTGGTGAACTGTGGATTATTCAATTATCTATGTCTAAAGCTCATTGTATGAACCTAGCTTCAAGGTGAAAATATCACAGTGGGGCAGGAGAATAGTGCTATTGCCCAGCTGACACCAATTCAGATGCTATACATACAGACATTTAATGTATACTCCTGTATTCTTTTTCTATTCTGTTCTCTCTTTGGGTCACCTTCAGTTCTGTCCAGAAAATATCTGGCAATCATGGCAACTCTTTCAGTGGAATCTTTCAGGCTGGGCAACGATTTGGATTCAAAGACGAAAATATGCTCAACAGTTGCATCTTTTTAAAATTTCACAATTGTTTTCCATAATTGCAACTCAATCCTAGGAAAATGTACATTTGGATGTGTTTCAGAAAGACGCCACAGGAGTTCTTGAAACACCTTTTTGCCATTGATAATTTGCATATGTACAATGTTTAAATTAGTTAATAAATTAGCTGATGTACATCAAAAAATATAACTTGGCAAATATGTAATAAAAGAAAAAAAAAGGAGTGGAAGACTTGTAATCTAAACAGCAAAGTAGGAAAAATAATACTGCAGGAAATGTAATGGGCTGGCTGAAAAGCGGTATAAAAGAAAATACATTGCCTAAAAATCTGTTATTTGTAAAATGTGGTCTACAGAGATAGTGTGATGACAATGGGCTACATCACAAAGAGACTACTGCAGAGTGCTTTACATGGTACAATCCTCAATATATACAGAAGCTTCAACTAATGCAAATGAAGGCAACCAGTGCACAATGTGAGGATCATTTGGAATACTAATCCAGATGCTTTTCAGGTATAATCCAAGCTATAAAGCCCTAAACTGTGTCGATGCTAGCACCGTCTTGATTGCTACCTTCATGGCTAAGCAAGGATGGAGATTGGTAAAAGAGCCTTCTAAAAGATGCTTAGATTTTTTAATCAGTTAAGACTGAAAGGACAGAAAGCAGGGCATGCATATTAGTCAAGAAGACATCTTCCCTTACCCTTGATAGAGATCCCAAGAGCCATGAATGTTACTGTTTCACTATCTGTGACTCCAGATCTCTTCTCTTATTACTAAAGTCTACTCACTCTGAACTCTGCATGGGAATAGCAAAATTGAAGCAAGTAATATGAAGAAGAAATAAAAGTTCAGACTTCTTCTATAATTCTTCCACAGAGTTGAACAATATATCTTGGAAGTCCAGGGCAATAGACTAACCCAGAAAAACTTTATCTACAGCCCAAAACATTTCTCCAAAATAGATATCCAAATTCTGATTTTCAATATGGTAGAAGAAGCAAAATATTAAGTATCATTGTAGAGTAATGATAGTAATGACATTTATTTTGAATTCCATTTAAGACAAATGGAAATGAAATCAAATTTAGATTTTGCCCTACCACTTTCTGACTTATCATTTTTTGGAGTACAGACCAGAACCAAACCTCTCAAAAGCCAAATATTCTCAAAACAGGAATGAATTGATTGCCATTTGCTCTTTCAACAAAGGACACCTGTGAAACTGGCAATGTGGAGACTGAGTCACAGGGTTTCTGGGGGAAATGTCATTATTTTATATTTTTAGGAAAGAGGTTATCAAGCAGTTCAAGGTTGTTTTTTTTAAAAAAAAAATAACTTGCAAAAGCAGATGTGTAGGTAGCCATCGTTTTGTTATCACTGAGAAATGAACATGTGTAAATTAACTTTGAATGAACCATGATCCTAAAGCTGCAACGATTCAATCTATTTAGATATATTCAAGCCATTTCTGAAAGCAGAAACAGAGGTTGTGACTCATCTCTATCATTAATACGGAACTGAGATATTCATACCTCAAGTCAAATCACCAATTCTTCCTCTGAAGGACATAAACTTTCTAGACACTGCATGAACCCACATAAAGCTTTGAAGGGCTATTTTGCTTTGATGAAGCTTCAGATAAAGTACCATCTCAAAGTTCTTCATAAAGTTTACTCCCCCCACACACACACATACTTCTATGATGGAGCAGGGAGACTTGTTGCTTTGCCTTGCTCTGCTTTGGAATACTATTAATCTTCACAATAATAGAAGAAAAAGCTGGGAGAAGGCTGAGGAAAGCCTCTTCTTCCAGGCAGCCTGAAGACTGCTTGCACACACCAAAATTTATTCTGGCCCCATAGGTTCCTTGGAGGAGGCAAATGCTATGTTTTGTTTTCTTTTAATTGCTATGCTGTGCTGTGCTGTGTGTGCCGTGCCATGCCGTGCCATAGCATGCCATGCCACAGTTCCTGGCTAATGCTGTAGAGGAGGCACTGACCATCCTTCATGGGCACACATATAGACTGAATGGTTCCAGAAGACAGGTATTAGAGGTGGTTAATTTGGAAGTCTCTCTAATTATGTTGAAGAAGCTGCCCATCCTCCAAGCACTTGTCACTATTGAGCTTGAAGGTTGAGAACAACCTCTTCTGGTAGTGCAGGCTCAAATAAATTCAAGGCCACCAGAATTGTTGCAGTGGGTAGCCTCTTTGCTTTGTTAACCTAAGTCTTATTGATTCCATGTCCCATGTTGTTTCATCCAAGCATGTCCATATTTAATACTACATAACTCCCATATGTTCTGCTCTCTACCTGCCCATCTTTTTGGTTATCATTTTGATGTATTCTCGTTGTCTTTTTTCATTCATTATTTTATTGTTCTATTATTTTACTTCTGTTTACACTCCTTTCATTTTGTTCCTTTTTATTATTGTAAGCCACCTAGAGTAGCGCCACAGAGAGATAGGTGGCAAATAAATGTAACAAACAAACAAATAAAAAGCTACATACCTATGAATGTCTTTATTATAGCAAAATATTCATGCATAGGGTTAGAGAGAGTATTCTCTATGTGAGCCATGGAGGCACAATCGCCACCCGGTGCCACCTCTTTTCATAGAAAATTCTCAATTTTAAAAGAAAAAAAGGGGGGGGAACATGGTCAACAAGATTATACATAATAAAGATGCATAAACCACTTATTACCTGGTTCGGTATAGCAATCTGGGCATGATGACAAGATGAACAACCAGAGTTATGTCAGATGACATCTGCGGATGAATGGAAAGTTGATTGTTCAGGATGCCAGGAAGGAAAACAGTTTATCTTATATTTCAAAAAGGTCTTGTTAGCATATTGCCAGCAAATTCTGCTGACC